TCATTTCAGTTTTCAAAATAATCGGTAAATTCAGCAACTTCAAATAGTATTCCCATTTAATATATATATTTTCAAATATAAACTAACACATTCTAAGATGCATGTGTTACCAAATTCAAACTAGAAAGCAAATAAATCAGGCTACCATCAAATAGATTCTCACATACTTGCAATTATCTCAGCTGCTAAGTTATCTGGGGAAAATATCTTCTTACTATGTGTACAGTGGTTAACCAAGTGTCACAGCACACTGCTGAACTAATCTGATTAGCAAAGAGAAAATAAAAGAATCACACATGCCAAAATTTAATGAGCAAGAAATAAAATGGAGAACAAAGAAATTTAATATTCCATCTTCAAGTTTTTTAAGAAAAAATGTTAACTTTGAAGGAAGCAAATCATTACTGTGTGTCACTAACAAGTTATCTCACTTAAAAACTAGAGTACTAGTAATTCTTAGGAGAAAATAAAGTATTTCCACACATTTGCTTTAACAAGCTTGTCCAAGTGTTCAATCCTGTATGAGAGACACTACGGTGATAAAAGCATGAGTCCCTGCCCCCAAGGTTTAATTAAGGGATAGACTGAGTAATACAGACCAAGACAAATGAAGGAAGAATCAGCAAAGTCTAGAGCAGTAAAGCAAAGAACGGTAAGTGTAAAAAGAAAAATCCACGGCAGAGGAAAACAAGGGGAAAAGCAGGGGCAGGGGTTCCAGAAAGCCAATGTAAAAGCTAAGGCATTCCAGTTGACAGGACTAGAGGAATATGGTGAGAATGGGTTAAGTCTTCAGAGGACTGCTTTATATTAAGTGTTATCAAATAATGTTTTTCTCCTAAAGAAATATCCAAACAATACACTTAACTGAGTGAGAGAATTGGAAAAGACTAAGAATTACTATGGCCAAGAGAAATAAAGTTATGGAAAAATGAATTTCATTCATTTAAATGTTTGCGTTTCGGGTGATAAGAAATCCAGTGGATTATCTGTTAAGACAACTCAAGATATGGGATTAGAAACCAACAAGACACTAGAACTTTGTCAGTGTTACCATCCTGGTGCAAATCTCTATCACTGCTCCCCTGGATGACTGCAATAACCTCCAGCTTCTACCCTTCATGCATGGCCTTATCTCAACCTGTCAGTCAAAGGGAACTTTCAAAATGTAAATTAGATCATATCACTATTCTGCTAAAAACCCTCCAGTGGCTTGCATTTCAGTAAGAGTAAAATCCAAAATCCTTACAATGGTATACAAATCCCTTCATGATATCTCACAATACCTTTCCTCTCCAACCTACTTGCCTACTACTATTCTTGCAACTTGCTAGTCCTAGAACAGGCCAGACTTGCTCCTAATGTGTTTCCTCTGCCTTGAAAATGTCTTGTTGGTTAATTAAGTCCATATGACTAACTCTTTGCCTCCCTCAAGACTCTGTTCACATTCCATCTTCTCTAAGAAGTCCATGCCCATACACCACTTAAAAAGCTGCAAGCCCCCATATCAAAAAAAACAAGCAACAACAAAAGCTAGCGAGGATGTGGTGAAAAAGGAACCCTCCTACATTTTAGGTGGGAGTGCAAACTGGTCCAACCACTATGGAAAGATGTCTGGAGGTTCCCTGGTCTACTAAAAATGGAGCTACCATATGACCCGGCAATTTCACTACTAGGGAATCTACCCAAAGGACACAAAAACATTGATTCAAAAGAGCACCTGTACAGCTATGTTTACTGCAGCACTATTTACAGTAAGCAAAACCTGGAAACAACCCAAATGCCCAAAAATAGATGACTAGATCAAGAAGATGTGGTATATTATTTAGCAACCAAAAAAGATAAATTCATGTCATTCGCAGCAACGTGGCTAGAGCTAGAAGGAATTATGCTGAGTGAAATAAGCCAGAAGGAAAAAGAAAAATATTGGGTGGTTTCATTTATAAAGCAGGAATATAGGGGAACCAAATAAAACATCAGTGTAAAAAAAAAAATAACAGTACAAAACACAACGAAGCAAAAACAGACAATTACAAATCAGAGACACCCTGCAGGGGTGGAGGAGGGAGAGGGATCAGAGGGAGAGAGGGAGGAGAACAGGGGACTGTGGTGATGGTGCACGGGTGCCTGGGGGAAGGAAATTCTGTGGGGACTAAACCTGAAAGGGTGGGGGCAAGAAAATATTGTTTAAAAAAAAAATAATAATTTAAAAAAAGTTGCAAGCCTCATCCTTAATTGAATACGCTCCATTAGCATATTCTTCCTTGTTATTTTTTTCTTTTTTGTTTTGCCAGAAAACTTAGCACCTTCTAGACTGCTATAAAATAAGCTTGTTTATTATTGGTTGATGTTTCCTCTTACAAAAACACAAGCACCTTAGTTATTTGTACATTGGCAGTTTCCTGGCTACGGTAACAATAGAGTGGATACTATGAAGCCTTTTTGGGACCACAGACTCCTCTGAGAGGCCAGAGGACTCTTGGCTGTAGTCTAGAGAAAAACATCCAGCTATACATATATATAGACCTATCATTTTAAATTTGCAATGGCAGTTACAGGGCCCCTGTTGTCTATGTCTTACGAGGGATCCAGGAATCCAGCTGTTGAATGATGTCTTAATGAATGGAAAATGCAAATGACATAAAATTCCTCAGGAAATAAATTGTTAATAATGCTAGAGATTATTTTCTTTAGTCATCTAGTCAACTAAAAAACACAGAACATAAAAATCTCTACTGGTTAAATTTTTTCAAATGATATATACCCAGGCTGAGTTAAAATCCATGCACATACCTAAGATACATTGGAAACCTAAATTAAAGAAAATAAGATCTAATATTAAGAACAGTAAAAATGATTAATAGTTATTGAGTATTTACTCTGTACTGAGTGCAGTTGTGGGTGCTTTAAATATATTCATATATCTACACAAATGTAAATAATTATAATCCCCATGTCATTACCAAACAGAGATACAAAGAAACAGAAATGATTAATAAGATTCAGAAGTAAAAAAAAAAATCCCTCTTTAATGTACAGCATTCTAGTCACAATTTAGACCTGGTATTTGTATTATTGCAGTTCTACAAAGCAAGAACATATTGTCCAAACTCCAGAAGGATGACAATCTTGATCCTTTTGCATATTCTTGCCAACATAATCCTTATAATACCATGTTCACTTTGGGTACTCTGTAACCAGAAATGTGAACACAAAATGTTCAAAAAGAGCCAACCCTAACTAAAGGATTTACAGGATTAAAAGCAGAAGCTTAATTTTGAGGATAGCAAACCCTAGCAATCTTTGAATTACTATCTTTTGCAGAAGTACCAGTGATAAATCATGGTTTGGAAAGAACTGGCTAATAAGGTATTGAAAAAAAATCAGAATTGGGTATTATTTTCTATGAAAAAAAGTTCAAATTTCCCTATTCTCAAACTGTTTCAAGATTCTCCCCCTTGGTACCATGCCTCCTTCACTCAGGGACAACCAAGAAAACCTTCCAGGTTCAAAAGTCTTATTAAATCCCATCAATCGGCAGCAGTCCTTCTGCCCACCTGTGACTATGCAGGACCGCAGGCCAGAAGCCTTCCTGCTTGCCTGTGATGCTGGGACTTCTCTTCACTGACCTCCCACAGCAGAGGCAGCTCTTCTCAAGGCCGCCTGCCTACAGCCATGCAGCCCTCTCTTAGCAAATCTGTCCCTTCCGGGGTAGCTCTTTCTGCCCTTGTTTCTATGCCAAGTGTCTTTTACTCTTCTGTCCCTTTCCCTAATAGATCTGCTCTTCAAATATAAATCAATCAATCAATCAGTCCCATCAATCACCAGACACATTTCACATTCCCTGGTTGTGCCTATGCCATGCCCCACACATTGTAGACACAGCAGCTATCTGTTCAATGACTGAATCTTCTCCAGGAGGAAAAACATGTGTTTAACATTTTCTACTTCTCATAATACAACTTATTATGGCATCAGAATAACGCAATAAAACAAATATTTTACTTCAAAGCATATGATAGAAAATCCATAATTTATCATTTTGTAAGATTCTACATCCAAGAGTGAAGAAAGAAAAAGACTATGTTTCTTATCAGTTTATGCTACTGGTGACCTAATATACCACAAAAAATTGATCTAAGCATATTCATTCCTTAGAATAATGACATTCTTAACATACTCTAATTCCTTAAAGCTTTCTTTATAACGTTCAATGAAGATACTACAACAAAATCATAGATTTTTTTTTAAATACAACCAACAAGCTTTTTGAATTAGATAAGAGAAACTAGTTCCATTCGAATGAGGTGGCCTGATGCTTTACAATAATATTCTCAATCAGTGCAGGATAAAACCAAGAAACAATAAATACAAATACATATTCATGCATATGCCACAAAAAGTTCCCTTTGTATTAATTCACAAACTGAAAGACTTGCTTCTGACTTACTGAGTTGTTAATATATCTCACCGTAAACACTCACAATTCAAAAACTATACACAGTTTCTTGGAAGTAAATACCAATTAAAAGAACTTACTTTCTACGTATTAAAGAGGCCTCCTTAGTATAGAAAACAAACAAGAGCAAAATTTCAGATTAAAATATTCCTTAATACTAGCAGTATTTTCTTAAATACAACTTAGAGTTGCTGAATATCAATTTACCAAAACAGGCATGGATGACCTTATCTTGGCAAAACTCACAATACTGTTTCTTCAACATCTTAAAAGACAGCTTGATGCACGACACTCTTCCATCTGCTTTGCTCTATTTCTTCAAGCCCCAAATGGAAATTAAACCCTTAGAGTAACAGCCAAAATTTCATCAATCACAGGAAAATACTTAGAGCAGATAAAGAGCATTATGTGAATTATATGAGTAATGGAGGTAGACAGAACAATAGGTTGAACAGCCTTGGTAATGACCTTTTAGTATATGTTGAGAAAGAAAATCCATACAACATGAACAGGAATTACATTAAATAATTCTATTCCCACTTACCTGATGAGCTCTCGGTAAATACTGTTAATGTCTGTCCTCCAACACTTTGCAAGACAAATGGATGTTCTCTAGGAGCACTGACTGAAGCTGGTTTTCCACCGATATCATGAATATTTGCTAAATCCTCATTCAAAGTAAATGACACCTGACAGACATTAAGCAGAGCTTATTAAATATACCTTTGTAGTCAAAGTATCTGTGCAGAAATTTTAATTATAAAATACATTTCTAAAAATGTGAAAATTTTCATCATTTTATTAAATACTTCAAAAAAACTTTATCAAGAAGTACCTTTATACTTACTCATAAAAAGAGAATCTATTCCCATTTGTCAGATTACTGGGGCTATTTTACCATTATAGAGATGATCAACTTTCAAATGTTACTCTGGTCTATGGCTGAAGAAAATCTTTCCAAAAAGGGAATATAATTATTTTTATCTAATATCTTTGAGGTAAAGGTATCATGTCTTATTACATTTATAATCTTAAGTACATAGAGCCTAGCAAAGTGCCTGGCACATAGAAGGAAAACAGTATTTAATGAATGAGGTTTTTTTTATATATATATATTCACATTAAAAATTTTCCCCCATTGTCCGAAATTCTTACTCTTTTATTTGGCTGAGGCAACATTGGTTTACAATGTGATATATGATTGGGAGGTACAGATAGGATCACACCCTTCAGGTGTACATTACCATACCACATCCACCATCAAGGAACCCATTGTGCCCACTCCCCACTTTGTTCTCCACCCTCCCCCTCTGGTATTCTCAATGCTATAGTCAGATTTCTAGTGTTTGTTGTTGGTTAGGTTTTATTTCACCCTGTTTTGTTTCTCTACATTTCACAGACAAGTGATACCATCAGGTATTTGTCTTTTTCCTTTTGACTTATTTCACTTAGCATATTCCCCTTCAATTCCATTCATGTTGTCACAAACGGCAAGAATTTATCTTTTCAATAGTTGAGTAGTATTTCATTGTGTAAATACACTACATCTTTCTAATCTACTCCACTATATTTGGGCACTTAGGTTGTTTTCATAGTCTAGCTATTGTAAATTGTGCTGCAATGAACATAGGAGTACACATATCTCTTCAAATTAATGTTTCTGTACTCTTCATGTAAATACCTAGGAGTGAAATGGCTGGAACATATGGTAGATGTATTTCTAATATTTGAGAAATCTCCATGCTGTTTTCCATAGAGGTTGGATCAGTCCACATTCCTACCAACAGTATATGAGAGTTTCTTTTTCTCAACATCCTCACCAACACTTGTTTCTGGTATTTTTGATATGGGTCATTTTCACAGGTATGAGGTAATAACCCACTGTGGTGATTTGATTTGTATTTCTCTGGTGATAAGCAACTGGAGAATTTTTTCATGTGCCCTATTGGCCATCTGTACATCTTAGAAGTGCCTATTTAGCTCTTCTGCCCACTTTTTGATTGGATTATGTTTTCTTTTTATTAGGCTGTATGAGAGATCTTGGGTATCAGCCCCTTGGTCAGATGTATGGTGTGCAAATATTTTCTCCCTTCCAATAGGATGGGAGTGTTTATTTCAGTGATAGTTTCTTTCACTGTGCTAAAGCTTTTTAGTTTGATATAGTACTAATTGTTTATATTCTCTTTTGTTTCTGTTGCGGATGGACACAAATTCACAAAGAAATCACTGAAGTCCATGTTGTGGAGTGTTTTGACTATGTTTTCTTCTATATATTTTTATGGTTTCAGGTCTAATATCCAAATCTTCAATCCATTTTGAATTAATTTTTGTGTATGGTGTGAGTCAGTGACTTACTTTCATTCTCTTGCATGTGGCTGTCCAGTTTTCTCAACACCATTTATTAAAGAGACTTTCCTTTCTCCAATGTGTACTCTTGGCATCTTTGTTATAGACTGTCTACTTAAATGTGGGTTGATTTCTGGGCTCTCAATTCTATTCCATGGGTCTGTATGTCTGTTTTTGTTTCAGTACCCACACTGTTTTGATTATTATTGCTTTGTAGTATAACTTGAAGTTGGCAGTATAATACCATCACTGAATTAGTGAATATTTTAAGTGTTTTAAGAAAGTAATTGCACTTGAAGAGGTGAAACACGAGCTATGTACTCAGAAAACTTAAACAACAGAGGATACAGTTATTTTTTAGGTCTTAATGACTGCAGTATGAGTGCATGGTGCTAATTTAATATTTTAACAAATACAACTAAGTATTTATATGGATAACAATAATGAGGTTTCGAATAAAAAGACATAGCAGGTATTCCTTCAAAATGATTTTTACTAATAGTAGAGCTCCCCAAAAGAAAATCAAATATTACATCAAAGGAACTTATAAAATACTAATTTTCCAGCCATGCAAAAAGATTATGAAGTATTTATTAAATATCTCTGTGTGAAAGATATTGCAAATTATGTCCTAGACATAACTTAATGGATCAAAATCTAAATACCACAAAGCTCCAAATCAAATGCCTTTGCCACAATGAAATAATACTAAATTATTACTGAAGGAACACTAGGTTTCATAGTACTGACAGAGGGATATTTAGGACAAAGTAGAAAAATGTTGAGAATGAACAACTACAAAAGAATCTATTTATTGACACAAGAGTTGCATTTATACGATTATGTGTCTGATGTGAAGTTTTCCAGTATGCAAACAGCATTTTCTCTTTATTATTTCTAATGTATAGTAACATACTCTCATTTTAAAAATAAAATCTTCATAGAAATAATCTTACCTCGGTCCTTCCTTGATTCCTAAAAGAAAGAAAAATTTAATTATTTAGATTTCATGTTTTTTCAAATGTAAGCTAAGAATTGAAAAATAAAATACTCATAATACTAAATACTCATAATACTAAATACTCATAATAATACTAAATACTCATAATACTAAAATACTCATAATAAAATACTCATAAATATATACTCATATAAAGTATTACATTTACAAAAATTATCATTATTTACCCTCAGCTTTCCTCAACTATATTTATAAACCTAAAGGAAAAACAAAGTCACCAGTCCCACATGATTATTTCAGATGTTGTTTCTATCATATAACACTATGTCTTAAAATGTAATATTTTAGGGCCTCCCCGGTGGCACAGTGGTTGAGCGCTGGGTTGCGAAGCTGCCCGCAGCCTCTGCAGCGCGGGTTCGATCCCCGGCCGCAGGGTGAGGGTCTCACATGGGGTGCAGACCTCTCCTGCCACCCGCTGCTCCCGTCAGAAGTGTATTTCATCAGTCTGCCTGTTCTGCTCTCCACTCTGGCTCTGGTGAATTCTCTCACCCTCCCGTGCTTCTGACTGTACCCAGTGCTTATATAAATAAATAAATAAATCTTTAAAAACAAAACAAAACAACACAAAAACAAAAAAAGTAATATTTTACCCAAATAATGATTTTATTACAATCTTTATTTTTATTTCTGAATATGTTTAGCATCTAGCAGAATATACATAGTTATTTAAATCTAGATAAATAATACTTCAGTAAATTTTACTATCTATTTTATCTAGCTGAAGAGGCCCTATTTACTTACTAAAATCTTATGGATTAAAAATTAAGTTTTTTATTATAAGCATTTTTTATCTCTGCTATAAAAAAATATGCTCATATGAGAACATTTTTCATACAGTCAAGCCGAAGGTTTTGAAATAACCATAATTCCACTTGACATCTTTAGTATAATAAATATCCTTCCAGACTATTTTCTCTGTACTTCAATAACATGTTTTTAACAAACATGAAATCAGTGTACATTCTATATAATAGCCTAAAATTTAAAAAATATGGAAGCTTGAAAGAGATAAGGAGAGCATCTTTGTGGAGGACAACAAAGGGAGCAGCACCAAAGGGTGCTATAGTCCAAGTGGGGGGGAGAGGAAGGGTTGCTGAACAAATTGCAGTGGTCTGAACAAAATGACTGAATATATTAAGGTTGGTTTCTCACTTGAAGATAAGAGCTATAAATATGAAAAGGGAAAAAACTGGAACACATCCATATTGTTGGGACTGAAATTAGATACCAGTATAAAGTCATGTTTTTAATAAATGTAGACACAGAAATAAACATAGATGTAAAAGTGTGTGCGTATATATACTCCTTAGCTCTGCCCATGGAGAGGGCCTGGGAGCAGTAATGAACACGGTGCTATTCAGATCTCAGATTCTAAATACCAGTCTCTAGAAAGAACCAGCACTCCTTAGAGAAAGGAAAGTTTAAAGCATCTTTCTATGCCAAAAAGTAAGTGCTCAAAGAATGACAAAAACAAGTCAAAAGGACATAGGACTTAAGCTATTGAACTGTGCAGCAGTCAGCTAGAAAGAGCTCCCACTTGCTAAATTTTAGACAATTTGAATATCAGAATAAATGATGATAGTAGCAAATTATGACCCACTGAAAAAAACTGGAATCCATGAGTTTGTATGCCACAGATAACAAGTTAATAAAAGAGAAAATCTGATAAGGAATAGAATATTTATATAGTCTCAAAGTACCACCCCACAGAATATGCAGTAATTACAAAAAAAGAGAGAACAGTAAATTTACAGTGAAGAAGTTTAAAAGACAATTTCTAATCAAGTAATCAAAACTACCACCACCAGGAATGGTGAAAATGAAAATACGCAAACCTTGCTAGAATACAGTACGAACCCAGCTTTATCTTCTGATATTCCTGCCAAAGATGCATAACTGAATCTAATCATGAAGAAACATGAGACATACCTAAATGTTATACAGTAACTGTCTTGGAAATAACAAGAATACTGACATTTATACAGTATACAATAAAAGACTTCCAAATACTTTAGATTTGAAGAATCTAAAAGACCTGCCAACAGAATCCCATGCAAGATTGTGGACTGAGTCCTTTTACTATAAAACATTATTGAGACAAGTGGCAAACCCTGAATAAAGTTTGAGAACTAGATAGGAAGCTATATGATTCCAATTTACTGATTTGGAGGAGTGCATTGTGATTATGTAGGAGAATGTCCTTGTTTGTTAGGAAAAGTATTTTAAACTGTTCTTTCAACTTTTCCGTACCATGAGATTACTTAAAATAAAAATATAAAATAATTTTAAAAATCTGCCCAGTTTAATGAATTCCTTTCTAATTCTTACTAATTTTTCTCCATAACATACTGCTGAAATGACTATTCTTTTTTTTTTTTTGAAATGAATATTCTTATATACCAATCTTTGCATCACTAACTTTTTACTTCCACATGGTTCCTAGAAATTGATGGAATTGCTGGGTCAAAGGCACGAAAATTTCATTATTCATTTTTCGTAGCCTTTGCATTATCCAGTATCACTCTGCTGGATGAGTTTGTCTGTGTATTTGTTCAAGGGCAGCAGCACCAGGATCTGAACATAATGCCTGCACTGTGAGTGAGTTGGCAAAGAAAATAGCAGAACTGTTGTTCTTTGTTTTGAACTGTAATGTGTGTGTGTGGTATACACATGTAGATATATACATATGTGGCCAGATTGCAAGTTTGCATCAGTTCATTTGTTTGCACATTTTCTTATAATAAATGGGTGCCCATGTCTTGTAATATTAAATGTAAAGTCAGAAACCAAAAATTTCTGAGAGAAATCATGTTACTACAGACTGCAGTAAAATACATCATACATGAAATATTTCAAAAACTAAAGTTTTCTAAGGTAGGATGGTAAAAAAGGGTTCATTTTAAAATTTAACAAGCAAAAGCAAAACTATAAATTGACCAAATGCAATATGTATCACAAGTCCAATGGTTTAGGCATAGCACATAAACTGCTTGACAAAAATGGTCCAAATATTACCATTTACTAAGATAGGCTTTTTCATCTTATTCATTACTGGACCCTCTATCCAGGTATTAAAACAGAACAAAATTCAGGAAGAGCTGCATTTTCTTCCTCTCCTAATTCCTGCACTGCACAGCCCTGTCTCTGAGGGAATCATCAGCCATGCCACCTACACTTCCCTAGCTTCAGCACAATAAACTGCTGCTGCATACCTGTGAGAAATGTGATGGGATGGGGAGGTCCATATCCACATGACATTAGACATACCACAGCATCTGCTGTCAGAACTGTGCTGTGTGTGTGCAATGACAATAGACGAACACTTATTACTAAGTATTTCACATGCAGTGAGCCTATGAGGTATTAATACCATCTTTTTTTAATAAGTGAAGAAGCAAAGTCACATAGCTAAAAGTGGCAAGTCAGGATAAAGTCCAGGGCTGATTAACTCCTGAATCCACACTGATAATCACTATGCCACAATGTCTTTCTAAAACCTTAGCTGTTTTCATTTTTCGACCAACTATGCTTTTTTTAATCACATAGATAGCCTATAAACTGGTTATTCTGCCTCTAATAAGCAATAGTTGATTGATTACACATCTTGTAGTATTAAAAACACTTTAAGACAATTTCACCTCATCTGCCTTAAACCATCTCTTAACTGCCACAATAATTCAGAGGACATTCGTTGGTTAAGTTTTCTCATTATCTTAGTCTCATTCCACTGAATGAACGTATATCTCCATGACTCTTAATCATAGTACTAAGAACTGAACATAAGCTACTGGCAAAGAAAGAGTGGAATTATCATCCTACTTCAAACTATCAACAAATATCTATTAATGGAGCCTTTTGTTTACAGCCACAATAACTTTGATGACTCATATTAGTTTACAATCAACTAAAATCCTGATACCCTAGTTACCTGAACTGATAAGCCATTCCTCACTCATCCTGCACTTATTTAATAGCTAATATAGCAATTCAGCAAGAAGAATGATGTCTAAGTAAATAGTAATACAGACAAGATACACAGGAGAATACAGTCAGGAGACTCACTAGGAAAAAAGCTGTTTTTAAGTATGTTCATAGCACTCTTAGGTGCTTGTTACTATAAATATGTTCTCATCCTTACAAGATCTAGATTCTTGTAAGGATGAGATCAGAATGATCATGTATCATGTTAAGTAGAAAATTTGCTAGGTAAGGTAACCCCTTATCACTTCTGTGGAATGGGAATGAGGGAAACAGTAACTTTTTATTTTCATTAGCACAAAAGTAAATTTTTAAAAAGAAAACATGTTTTACTGCTATAATAATACACACAAACAAACAAAACCAGGATACATTGAGGAATGACACGAAAGGCACTATAAATAAAGAAGGTAAACACAAAAAAGGGACCATTTCAGACAAACTTGGAATATGACCACCCTACGTATATTAGAGGCAACTATGCAATCCATCTGCTTTAAGAGAAAGAGCTTTGAAATTCTCTATCAAGCAAAAGGTAATAAAAATTGGAGCATACTCACTATTACTTATTTAGCATGCCATCTTTTAAATTTTACATTAGCAATCATAGTAGTACTTAGGACTTCCGTAAGTTTCCCTGAACATAGGTTCCTTTTACCTTCTTTCCAATAATAGACCCCTCCTTTCCACACCAAGAAAGACTCCACATTCCTTAACCAGGCGTTTTCTTTAGAGATAGGGTTTCAGGAACATAATGTTCACGGTAGGGGAAAAACATTTCAGTTTACATAGCATTTTCACAAATTCTATGCTATTTCATCTGTTTGGGGTTGGAAAGGCCTTACTGTACACATTTTACAAATAAGAAAGCTAAGACCAAGAAGGCTATAGCCCAAGTTGGTAAAGCTACTACCAACAGGCCTAGAACCCAGGTCTTAAGCTGTAGTCATTCCTCAACAGTGGTAATCATTCCTCAATACTAAGTGATTCATAATTTAAACACATTTTACTTTAGTCTGCTATTCTCCTGAGAAATTTATCTTGCTATTCTCCTGAGAAATTTATCTCGACAGTGGCTCCCACTCCCAGTAAAACCTAGTAATATGAAAAAATCTGGGCAGCAGTCCTTCTGCCCACCTGTGCCTATGTAGGTGCTTCTTTTTACCAACTCTCTCCCTCCACAGAGCAGCAGCATTCCTGCCTGCCCATGATCTCTACCTGCTGGTGCTTCTCTTCACTGACCTCCCTCAGCGGAGGCAGCTCTCCTCAAGGCCACCCACCTGCGACCATGCAGGCCTCTTTTAGCAAACCTGTCCTTTTCCGGACAGTACTTTCTGTCCCTTTTGTCTATGCAAGTGTCTTTTATTCTTCTGTCCCTTTTATAATAAACCTGCCCTTTTGGATATAATAACATCTCTATATCATGGAGAAACTCTCCTGGGAAGCTGTGTGCCGCTTAAAGGGGCGCGCTGGTGAAAACTTTCTCAGAGTGAATGCAAGAACCCCACTCTCTGAGCCCAGCAATTCCAAAAATGACACCATTACAATCTAGTTGATGGTCACTGTTGGGCCCCACTGCCCACAGAATAAAGCCCAGGCCTCAGTAGGACACACTCTTTGCTCAGGCCCCACCCTGACATTCTGGCTTTAATCCTCCTTGCTCTCTGCATGAATCCTTTGATTTGTCCATAAGAACGTCCTAAATTTTCCATGTTCCTCCATACAGCTTTATTCCTTCTCTGGTGGGCAAACTCTAGCTCATTTTTCAAAACCTAGCTCAGATTCATCACTTTTGCAGAGCTGTTCTCAACTCCTGCAGGGCAACATTGTGACTTCAGACTCTGTATTTATAGAGCACAAAATAAGTAAGTAAATAAATAAATAAATAAATAAATCTAAAGTTGATAACAGAAAAAGTAGGTAAGTACCTGCATTACAAAAGGACCCCATATTGAAAGAGCAAAAAGATCCCCATAGATTTCAACTGAAAGTCTGCTTTTTTTTCTTTCAATACAAGTATGACAATTCTTCAAATTCTGATTTATCTATAATATTCTAGGAAGATGTTCATTTTATAAAATTAAATATACAAATATATGACAACTATTTCCATACCATCTCACTGGATTCATACAAAAGACCTGCAAAACAGGCAACATTAGGGATAATGACTCTAAACGTAGAACTTAAGTAACCTGTACAAAGTCTCACTGATGGTAGATAAAAGGTGAAACCAGAAGCTGTTGATGTTTTCTTATCACTCAAAGGGCCAAATTTAAGTCTGGTTCCACTACCAAACATGTCTAGAGTTAAAGAAAGATTACTTGTCCCTACCTAACTATAGAACTTTGAATATAAAAGCCTGCTTGTTTCTAATCAATATGTTAATACAAAATGAAGAATTAAAAGCTAAGTCTTGACCCAAGAACAAGATACGTAGGGCACAAATGTATGAAGGTATCAAGGTTTCTTAAAGACATGACATCATGCAAGAATACAGCACTGTTCCTCCAAAGAACAACACACAGAGGGTCTACAAAATCCAAACTCCACAATTAACTGGTTTTAATGAGGAAACTTTAAAATGATCTCCCGAAAAGTATAAGCTTTACAGAGAAACAGTGGGTATTTTAGGCAAGAAGATATCTGGGGTCTATACTTTGGAGGAACAAACGGGAAAAATTTAAGTCTTAAAAATGTTCTCGCTCTGCTTTTCTATTTCACCTTTGGAACTATAGCCCAAGAAAATAAAAGACTAAAATGGTTATTGCTGCTAAATTTGTCTCAGCAGTTTTCATTTATTGATTCAATAAAAAAGTACTGGGAGTCTACTATGCCAGACACTGTTTGAGAGCCTGGAGATATAGGCAATAAGACAAAAATCCCGACCCTGTGCAACATATACTCTAGCGGGAGAGATGGACAATACACAAACAAGCAAATACACAGTATTCCAGATGGATAAATATTCTACTGAATATAGAACCTAAATATACAAAGTACTATTTTATATAGGGTGGTCAAAAAATATCTATCTGAGCTGATATATGAACAGAGACCTGAAAAGTATGCAGAGCAAGTCATGGAGATATCCAGAGGAGTGTTCCAGAGAGAAAGCACAGAGGAATAGTGACTATTAAGTTTGAGATGCTTCTAAGACATCCAAGAGAAACATCAAAGAGGCAGTCACATGAGTCTGGAGATCAGGGGAGAGGCTAGGCTTAAATACCAACTGGTTTATACAGTGAGACCACCTAGGAAGTCAACCAAAAGAGAAAGAAGAAAAGCAGCCCTGGGGTCATATAACACGGAGATACTGAGAAGATGAGAAGGAGTCAGGAATAGAAAATGAGAAGAAACAATCAGTGAGGGGAGGGGAGAATCTAAGAGAGTGGTATCCCACTCTTAACGGGGATAAAAGTGTTTGCGGATAGAAATAATCAACTATGTCCAATTTTGTTAAAGGTTCGTTAAGAAGAGGGCTGACTCTTAGATTCAGGCATGTGGATGTGGTATGTTGTAAAAAAGGACTACAAATTCTTTGCAGTCACTCCTACCAAAAGGTGGAGTTTATAGCCACATACTTGAATCTGGGATTGACTATGTGAGTTAACACTGGCCAGCAGGACTTTAGCAAACATGACGCAGTCACGTTTGCCAAGCGCTTATGCACTGGGCTTTGGAACTCTTTTACCATCACTTACATGAATATACTGGAGATGAACCACAAATGGCCATTTGCCCCAGCCTGTTAATAAGCCAACCACTAGACACATAAATATGACCATTCTGGCCAGGAAGACCAGCCAGGTCAGTTTCAACCAGAACTATAGAACGATAAACAAATAAAATGGTTTTTGTTCTCGGTCACTACATTTTGGGGTGGTTGGCTATGAAGCTAATTGATAAAACAGAGGATACTAATGACAGATAAAAGCTGTTTTAATGGAGTAATAATGTCATGGAAATCTGATTAGAGTTGAATTAAGAATGAATGGAGAATCACATACAGCATTGTAAACCAATGTTACCTTGATTTAAAAAAAAAAGAATGAATGGACAGGGAGAATGGAACACAAGGTCTCTGACTTTAGAGATTTCCCTTTCTAACAAGGTCATTTACTCAACCAAGAAAGTACACTGTTACATTGTTTACTAGAGGTTCCCTAACCCCTTCCAAGTCTATAAATATCAGTAGCATAGTAGCAAAATCCTTCCATTGGAACACCTGGTACATCCAGTTACGCTCAACACAAGATGTGGAGAAGATGCAGGGGATGAGTGTGCTGCACACTCAGCTGCTTTCCTCTTGGTGTCACCAACAAATCTGAATTTATATTTACACACCTGTGAGTGTATATAGGCACGTGTTCACGCACCACCTACTCCTGAGAAAGCACCTAACCAAGCCTAGAAATGCTCATTACTTTTCACTTTCCAGGCAAATTCTCTATCTGGGAAAAAAACAACCAACCAACCAAACTATAATTATATCTAAAAGCACTTGTAAAAACTTTGAAAAATAGCTTTTAAAATGTCAAAAATATATAAATAACATACTTGGCAATCCTCAGTTTCCCAACTTCACCTCTTCCAGGGGCTTTAGTCCACTGCTGTGACAAATATTTAGGAACCTAAAACAAAGCAAGAGACTAATAAGATTATGTTTTGGCAGCCAACAAATCTTTTTAAACATAAAATGATACACTACTTCTACTTTACTTTCTGCCTGTAGCAACTGATCATTAAGAATTAAGTACTCGTGTTTTGTATTACCTGGGAGGCTACAACATGTATGAAAAGATTTTAGCTCTCAGAGAGCTTAGTGTCAATCTAGTTGTTGATATAAAACTTACACTGGTTAATCCATGATATAGAAGTCCAACTGTAAAAAACTTGAATATTCACAGATTTTGGTATCTGCTTTAAGAGAGGTAGGGTTCTGAAACCAATTCCCATCAGACACCAAGGGAGGGCTTGGTAGTCTATCCAACTGACTACTCAAATGTTCCATATGAATATTCAGTAGACATTTCAAATGTAAAATCTCCAAACTAGAATTCTTACTTCTAATTCATAAACCTGTTGCTCCTGCAATTTTCCATATCTCCCTAAAAGTTAACTCCATTCTTCCAGGCACTCAGGCTAAAAACTTGGGAGTTATTCTGAAGAGCTTCTTTTTTCTCACATTCCACATCCAATCAAATGAAATATCCTGTTAGCAAAACTTTCAAGTTATATCTAGAATACAGCCCCTTCTCATCAATTCCAGAATTACCATCCTAATCCAAGCTAGCACTCTCTTTACAACTGTAGTAACAGCCTCCTGATTTCCTTGCTTCCATTGTTGCCTAGTGCAGTTTATTCTCAATAGAAAAGCAATAGTGATCATCTTAAAACATAAATCGGACAACACTGCTCTGTTCAAAGACTTGTGATTTACCTAACAGACATCTACACAGAACTTACCGGTACTTTTTTAAGCAGGTTACAACTATTAGTTCATTTAATTCTCATTACAACTCTATTATTTGTCCATTTTGCAGGTGAAGAAACTGGGGTACCAAAAATAAGTTATTATTTGCCCAAAGTTTCAGAATTACTAGTAGGGAAGCCAGGATTCTAAACTAGGCAGTTTGGCTTCATAGTCAACATGCCATGCTGCCTCCTCTCTATGGCTACTAGCTTTCACTTCAGAGTAAAAATCCTATAATGTCTCAGTTGACTCAGCCTCCTGCTATCCCACGGCCTCATCTTTTACTAGTTTCTCTTCCACTGGACGCTAACCAGTCTGTGGACAATCCCAGTAGCATCTCACTTGAGGAGCCTGTGATTTGCTGTTAACTTGTGTCTGGAATATTCTTCCCCCATATTTTCTCTTTCTCTCTGCTTAAAGACAGTGTTACCAGTGAAGTCTTTTACCACCCCATTTAAAATAACATCTCTAGTTACTTTCCATACACTTTTTAGCCTGCTTTATTTTCCTTCTTGCTTATTTTTCTTACCACAAACTCTATGTGCAGGTGCTCCCTGTTGCAGTGTCATCTGCATGCAGCAGATATTTCATGTTTGTTTTTTTTACTGTGATATCCCTAGCATCCAGAATAGTGTGACACCTGGTAGGAGGAGAGTCATCATTTTAATGACTGGATATTGCTGAAGAAATGCTAGCTAACATTAACACAATAACAATGATAGCAACAGTAGGATATACCTAGGATTTAATTTTAATAAATCTCATCTCATTCTCAGAGAGAAACCTTACTTCAGAGATCTATCTTACAATAAGGGGGAAGACAGTATAACGCCTATAGTAGTTGGAGCATTTTCCAAATAGCTAGTGTCCCCTCACTGCTATATTTTGAAATTATGTTGGTATAAAGACAAGTATGTTTTGGAGACTTGGAACTCTTGAATGAGACCATACTTCAATAAATTATCAGGTAAAAAGATTCTGTGATCATATTGTTGTAGAATACAATTTAGGCCACCAAACATGAAAATAGTTCTAAGTGAAGTAATTTCATAATCACACAATAAAACAAACTTAAAAATCAAATTCAGTACGACAAATTGTACCGAAGTTGAACTGCCAACTTCAAAAAAGATTGTGTTCCAGAAATTAACTGATAAAAACAAGCTTGGAATTCATGCTGCATCTGTATTGACATCATTATAATAAAAATGTAGGTTCACTTGTAGTCCATCAGCTTATTTAATTCAGAAGGTTGCCAATATACTATACTCTTACAATGAAAAATAACAGAATATAATGAGAATAGTTATGTCAGTCACAGAAACTCTTTATAGTGAGAGTTTATGGAAATGGGCTTCCCATAAACTTCAGTCCATTATATTCAGTCTGAAAGAAAGGGAGAAAGGAGAGGGTAAGAAAAAATAATGGTATATGTTGTTCCAAGGCTTCAAACACTTTTGACAGCTGATTTTTTTTAATTAAAACATTCTATTTTAAAATAAAAATTGTATATATTTAAGGTGAACCACATGATTATTTGATAGACATAGTAAAATGATTACTACAGTCGAGATAATTAACATATAGCTTCTTCAAATAATTACTTTTAGTGTGTGATAAGAGCACCTAAAATCTACACTAAGTAAATTTTCCCCAAACACCCCTATGAACATGTCATTTGTGAGATATCTGTGTTCTTCTGTCTCCACATTAATTAAAGAATATCCGATGAAGACAAGATAATTGGTACAATAAGAGATGTTTCCTCAGATTTCCCAAGACCAGAGAAAATGACAGAAAATGACTCATTTAAGCATTATTCCTGCATGGAAACCTACCTTGACTCCCTAGAGTAGGACTTGTTTCAGCATCCTTATCTGTAACTGTTTTCATTAGGATTAGTATTTGATTGATGTCTGTTTCCTGCACTAGACTATAAACCCCAGTCTACAGCACATGGACCACGTCTGGTTTTGAATATCTAGCACAATGACTGGCAATTACTGGAAGCTTGTTGGATGAATCAATCCACCCACCTGTTCACTCAAGCTGAGCAGAGTAATAAAGTCAATGCTGCCTTTGAAGTCAAGGTGTTATGGTATTATAAACAGATATTATTCTTCTAAGCTTCTTTGGTTCTTTGCCATATGCTTCCTCAAATGTCTATTTCCCCAATAGCTGGTCTCCAAAGCCCTGTTTCTCCCAGAGCACAAGCAAATTAAGGACACTGTAGTGGATACTGTGATGTGATACCCATTTACTCATTTAGGATTCAAGGCCTTATTCCCCCAACTTCTAGCAGTATGAACACAGTCAGCCCTCTTTGGAATTGCCTCCAACGAAGAGAAACCCTTTAGCCAAGATCACATACCCTTCCTGGTGCAAACCACACCCAATGACTGGTTGACACAGGGTATTTATTACCTCACTCCAACTCAGAACAGTTCTGAAAAGCTCCCAGTGGAATCGTCCTTGTCTTTCACCGAGACTGCATCACACCCTCTGCCAATCCCACTAAACTTCTTTTCTTTATACAGGTGATGATTCCAAGGGCACTCTCCAGTATATCCCTGCATGCTAATCTCCACCTCAGAATCAGCTCCCTGGGAATCCAACCTATGACATAGCTTTTAGTTCTATGTTTTCTTGAAGGTCAACATATGGAGCTGACATGACCCAAGAGCATAAAAATGAAGCTCCCACTTCACATCTAAATCTTTAGGGCAGAGAACTCATTAAGAGAAATCCAAGATAGAAAGACATTTCCTATTCCTGGCATAAACTCTGAGCTAAACATACCTAAATTTGAATCACTGTCCTATGCTTGAGCAAGATTACCTCCCTTAGCTTCAATTTTATCATCTAAAAACATAATTGTAGCCTATCTTGTAAAATGCCTCATACATAAGAAATCCGAATTCCTTTTTTTTTAAAAATTTATTTATTTATTTATTTTTATTGATTGATTGATTTATACATACATGCATACAAGCACTGGGTACAGTCAGAAGCGCGGGAGGGTGAGAGAATTCACCAGAGCCAGAGCGGGGAGCAGAACAGGCAGAAGGACTGAAATACACTGCTGAGGGGAGCAGCGGGCGGCAGGAGAGGTCTGCGCGCCATGTGGGACCCTCCTCTGGTGGCCGGGGAGCAGCCGGGGATCGAACCGGCGCTGCAGAGGCTGCGGGCAGCTTCGCAACCCAGTGCTCAACCGCTGCGCCACCAGGGAGGCCCAATCTGAATTCCTTTTTTTCCCCCAACCAGGTAAAGTGAATGGGGTATCACCCATTTCACTTTCATCTCTCCCTGACATACAGTTTTTTCTTCAGCCAACAATGACGAAATGCTTAACTGCAAAAGTAAAGGCTGAGCTTGGTGGCATCTTAGTTGCTGAATGAAGGACACAAGATTCACAAAAGAATGATGTCCATCCCTCCTGCCCTGATTGTCACTTCCAACAAACATCAGTCAAAATAGTTATAAGGGTTGGTTGGGATTTAAACACATCTTTTTGCTAGCTAGGAAGTTGTGAGTTAGAACTACTCCACCTGTCTCTTCCCCCCAAAAGAGGTAGCAATTCTTATAATCAATGTCTCCATAGGGATATGCATGGTTCACAAAAACTCCTACTACTCCTATAATTTTGCCCGCTTTACCTCCTTCTTTTCCCCATTATGTACCTTACCCTCCAGCCAACCAAAATTAAAGAAGATAATTTTTTCCAGAAGTCTAAGTACTAGTCTAGAAGTCAAGCAGTAGAACTATGCTAGACATCATGACTGTTAAATCATGATTTGGTATGGGGTGTGTAATTATGGTGTGACCAGATGGCAACTTAATAGTGGCAGAGAATGAGCAACAGGAACAGAGTATTGCAAACTAAATGAGACTAGCTTCCTGACAAGGTAAAAATTGTGGTTGTTTATACGCTTTATACATATAAAAATTGTGGTTGTTTATACACTTATTGTAGTATTAAATCCAAGCAAGTCTCTTATTTATTACTACCAAAATGTCTCAGGAATTCACTCTAGATCATCATTCCCTTATAGATTTAAGATATCCAGAACTCCAGAAATGGCACTTCATTGGGAACAGCACAGGCCCTGGATATTTTGGTACACAGCCCACTACTATATTTTTCCTGAACATAATCTTCCCAGCCCTACTGGGAAGATTTTTCCTAACTAATGAACTCCATAGGCTCTTCTTAAATGTCACCTTCCCTGTGAAGTCTTCCTGTTACAGCCAGTCAATTACTTTCCTGCTGAAAACACACAGAAATAGATACACACACACACACATATATAACTATATTTATCCTGTTTTATATCTATCTACTGACAGAATTTATAAAATATGGATAAGACTCATAAACTTTGAGATAGAAACTCTAAGACATATATTTGGCAACAAATGATCCTCACAGATCAGAACTCAAAGTAATACTTATAGAGAGAAATATTAATGTAGAAGATAAGACTTGAAATTGGTACATAGTTCAATTCACAAATTCTGATTAGATAAGAATTAAGATAGGGTTTCTAAGCAATATGTTATATTTTAATATCACACAAAGAAACATGAAAATGATCATTATAATTTGATGCACTCAAATAATTTATTTCTAGCAGAGATGAAAATCCAAACATGCTCAAGATATGGGCATAAAAATCACACTGGAGGCTAGCTCCAGTGCAAATGAAACAAGTTCAAGCTATCTGACAGGTGTACGAATCAAACTACAGCAGAAATAAAAAATGTCAAAAATGTATTTGCAAGTCTGTTATTTTGGTACACAGCATTAGAAAAAGAAGAAATACTGCATGCCTTGAGAAAATAATAATATTGCACAGAAATAAAACATCAGAACTACCTTTCTAAAATAAGAATAAACCATTGGCTTCAGTTGAATTCTTTTTAAAGAGATAAAATGTATTCAATTGACTATCTATGAAAGAACAAAAACTTTGTAACTTCTTCATTTTAGATTCATAATATTCTTTCACATTCTCATCCAGTCACCAAATCCTGACAACTTTTTCTGAAAAAGTTTCCTTAAATCTGACTTCATTATCACATACCTATGATCCTGTGTTAATTTTCTAATTTCGACTCTCCTTATCTTCCCCTCAAGCATAGTTTTTTTTCTGAATCGTTTGCATCCTTGCCTTCCTGTGGGCTAAAATCGTAGCACCCCTATTTCACAATATAACAATATGAGAATATGGTACCAATCGTTTCTTACACAGACTGTGAACTCTATGCATAATAACTTCCTTTGTTTTCCAGGACACATCATGTTAATATGAATTTTCAGTCTTGCATTTCTGTTCTACCTTCCATGGTATACTATGTTATAACTCTGTCCACACATCCAAATGTAAGGCAAACAATGTTTACTGAGTATTTACTGTGGCCCCAGCATAAATGCATCTCAAGTTCCACCATTTTTTTCAAGTATCTTCTATCAGTCTGCAAGGGAGATCTCCTTTAGGACTCTAAGAACCATTCAGCATCCAGTAGGAGAGAAAAATCTTATTTACTCCCATCTTTTTTTTTAAATGTAGGTTCTAAGTATGACTCTGACACCTACTCTTTGTGTGATCTTGACAAATCACTTGACTTCTCTAAGCCTCTGTGTTCTTCCCTCACTTCCAAGTGTCAATGTGAAGATTAAAAGATATAATGTGTATAAAATGCAGAGCACAGTGACAGGGTCAGGGTAAACACTTATGACATGCTAGTGATAGCATGATTTGACCCCTTTAGGTATGGCTGAAGAGTGCAGAAGTGCTAGAGCAATCACATCTCCTCTTAGGAATTGGGAAGTAAAATTCTTAGATACTGGGTTGGTCAAAACAGCAGTGTTTGACTCTTTGTATTCAACTAGTCATCAGAAGACCAGCAGTGTCAACATTACCTGGGATGTTTATGCTGCTTAGTGGTCATGTGGGAGCATGTTACACAATGCATAATCTCAGGCTCCACCCAGACCCAGTGAATAGGACATGCATTTTTATAAAGTGCACATTACACTTTATAAGAGTGTGTCCTATCTTTTTATTTTTCCCCTCACCACCATCCCTGATGTCCCCTTGTCCCTTTCCTTCTTCTCATACTCCATCCTTTTAAGTCATACTAACAGCTATGATAAGTCAAGAGGACCACAAAGTCAAAAATGACACATTCATTCATCACAATCTGTTGAGCACTGATCATGTGCCAAACATAAGTCTGGGCATGAAAGACAATGATCGATATTCTCATGGATTGTGACTGTGTGTGTGTGGGGGGGGGGTGTGTGTGTGGAAGTAATACTGAACACAGGAACATAGAATCATTTTAGACTATGAGAAGTGCTTTTAAAGATATAATGCAGGTTTGACATGCCAGATGATGTCAAAGGAAGCTATTTTCTTACTTTTTAAAAAACATTTTAAAAGGACAGGTTTATTAGGAAATAAAATAAAAAACGTTTATTAGGAAAAGGAGAAAGAAAAAGAGAGGCACCTGCATAGGTGGGCAGGAAAGCTGGCACTGCTGCATAAAAAGGGAAAAGGTTTGTGAAAAGATACACCTGCATAGTCACAGGCAGGCAGGAGAGCTCAATAAAGGACTTATTTTTTGAGTGTTAGACAGGAAAAACCTCTTAGATTTAACAAACTAGAGCCCAACATTTTACTTGACGTTGTGTCATAATTACATTTGAACAGCCATATGTCCTATGAAGTTCCCCTAAGAGACAACACTTCCTAATATGAAAAAGTAAAGAATACATACTATTCTAAGGGTTAGTCATTGCTCTCTTTATCAAAAAATCATGGGAGAGATGGCTGTATAGTGGCTAGCATAAGTTCCTTCCAAAAATTATTTATTGAGGATGAGTTAGAGAAGACCCAGTGGTGTTTGAAAGAACACTGCAGTTCAATGGCCTCTCCTTCCCTGAGCTCAGAGGTCTCTCAGCATTCCAGCGAACTATTAAGAGCCATCAACCTAAGAAAGCAACTTAAGAGTAAAGAGGGATCAGTTCTACTTTCCGGCCAAGTAAATTGTACATAAAGCTGACACTCAACTTCCTTACACAGACTTATGGCTAAAATCAGTTTCACCAAAAGGAAATGCAGGAATTCTTTTCGAATGCGGTAACATGCACTGTTCAACTCGGGAGACACCAAGACATACCCCCACAAACACCAAATCGTAGGGAAAGGAGATCCATTCTAGGCAGCTCTGAGTCCCTAACCAGCTCAAAGACTCTTGTGCACCCCTAATATGCCCTGTCTGCAAATAGGCAAAAATGATTCTTGCTTCTCGAGGTACATGAAGCTCTAATGAGAGGGTAATAAAGAACTTTAAGAAGCGCACGGAGTGGGATGGTCTCAAGTCACTTAAATTACTTCTACAGGAAGAGCGAGAGCCCACGCGAACATTACCTTGACCAGCCACACTCCGGTGTTCTGTTTAGCGCCGGTCAAGTCGAGTTCCCCGCGCTCGGCCATCGGTCGGCAGCCGGTGGAAACGTGCAACCCAGAGCAGCGGTGCCGGGAACTGGGGAGCTGCGGGGTCCGCGTGCGAGCACTGGGCTAGTTGCGGCGGAAACCCGACCGCGAACAACCCGTGGGGACTGGCCAGGGTGCAGGAAACCTGGGGAAAGGTACACGCCGCTGGGAGCCGGGGACTGCGCCTGCGCACGGCCACCGTCAGTACGGCGTGCCGGTGGGGCCAAACTTCCTGGTTCGGCCACTTACGGAGTGGGCGTGGCTACTGAGGTGTGTTGTGGGCCAGTGATTAAAACACAGTGGAACGAGTGGAAACTTAAAGCAGTACATTTAAAGACGAGGCTAGCATCACTGAAGAAAAGAGTCCAAATTGATAAATGGAGTTCAAAGAGACAAAGACTGCCCAACCCTGACCAAGGAGATAGAAACAGCATTTGGAGGACAAGGTCCGAGAGTAAACGGAGTAAGTGAATTACCACAAGTGTGCACTGGGGTGGGACAGAGTACCCCTGTGTGTACTGGAAACATGCTGTTTCTAGACCTGAAAAGAAGGCGGTGTCAAAGGCTACTCTGAGCATCTCTGAACAAGCAAGTAGAACACACCCCTTTCAGACTCCCCAACACGAAGAGTCCGGAGGATTTAGTCAGTGACTTAAAAGACAAATCTGATTGTGAAACTCCCCCACTTGCTGTTTCCTCTCCCTCTGTCTCCTTGTCACTAGAATAAAATTCAACCCACTCGGTACAGGCCCCCTCAACCACACCGACTCCTTCAGACCTTCGTGAACAGGTCAAAATCTCCCTCAATTCTTTCAGAGCCTCTGCAAGTCCCTTTCCTCAGATGCTGTTTTTCCCTTATCTTCATTTCCACGTCTGTGCTGTGAATAGCAAACTCCTACTTAATTTCAAGACTAATGAAAATGTCACTTTCTCTGAGACCTTTTAACAATTCCTTTGGTTCAGAGAAACTGTGTCTTCTTTTTTTCCTCACAGCTCCATAAATATCCTTCTTCAAGTTGGTAGGAGGGTTGGAAAGGACATCTAAGGGAGGAAGTTCCTTTTTCTTCGTACAGCAGGGTGTGATATTTAGCAGACTGCACTATAATACGCATGTTTACATGCTGTCTCTACTTCCTTGGCTATGAACTTCTAGGCAGAAATAGTTTTTTAGTCATTGTATATCTAATTCTTCTAGTATAATCCTTAAGACATTGTCAAATTTCAAAAGGCTTTGACTAAATGAACATTCACTAAAGAGAAAGAGTAAGATAGTGTAATAATGCCAATTAATCAATCACACATCAGACTATGCACAAAATGAAGAAATTCCATTTCTGTGCAGCAAAAGGCCAGGAAAATCCATCAGGTCTCTGAGATCAGCTGGGGAAATGAATAGGAAAGATGGGAGAACAGGCAGGTGTTGAAAATGAAGGTTACATTCTTGTGCCACAGGTTGGGGAAGGGCCTTAATTAAAACATATGACAAGCAGGTAAAGAGAAGTACTTTAAGCTTTCATAAAGTAGAAGGAATAAGTTGAAATATTAAATATAGCCTAGACACCCTACTAATAGACTTAAGGGTAAAGAATTAAGACCTTGGCCTTGATCTATGGGTCTTGGGAAGCTTTAAAATATGTGTGTGTGTGTGTGTCCAGGGATTGGGGACAAACAAATTACAAATCACAAATTTAACAAATTAAAGAATAAGAAATGGCTAGAGAAGAAAGGAAAGAGTGAAGATTAAAAAATGATTATATAGGGAAGGGGATAACAATTTATTGAGCATCTTGTCCTCATACATAAACATACTGAACAAAGAACCAACTTCCCTTAGATGTCCTTTCCAATCGGCCTTCCAACTTGAGGAAGGATGTTTATGGAGCTGTGAGAGAAAAAGATGACACAGGCTCACTGAACCAGATTCACAGATTTATCCTGGAGACCAACAGGGAAACATATTGCAGTCAGATTCTTCCCTCTGCAGAGGATCTATTTGACAAAATGAATAATTGGGGCTTGATCTAACTCTGTGTTCTTTCGATTATAACCCCACACCCTTAATATCCATTCTCACACATGTTCCCTTCTGCTTGTATAAATTATAAAATGTAAGTTGTTCTTTCAAAGTACAGTGCATCTCCTCATGGGTCACACTTTGTACCTCACCATTAGGGACCTACTGAACTTCTGTTTAGGAGCAAAGAGGGATGGTGAGTGAAAGGTCTTGCAAAGAATTAGCCTCGTTTTGCAGCTGCCTTAGAGAAAGCCATTGCAATTTCTTTAGACAATGTAGGGTTAATCTCCTCAGGGAGAGGTAGGGAGTAGAGGGTTTGTTACCACTGGAGATGGGGTTACTGCTTCTAGTAGGAGTTCAGAGGCCATTCTCTGGCAAAAAAAAAAAAAAAAAAAAAAAGGAAAGATACATCAGAATTTATAGACTCAATGTCTCTAGTTTTATCAGGGTCCTTCCTAATAAAGGTTCCCATTCCAACTTACAGCAACCCATTCTTTCCCCATCATCCTCTCTTACATTAATAGTAGATGCATCAAAGGCTGGGAGTTGAACTTGCATTGTAATTCAGTCAGTTACAGGATGAAAGCTTGCGTGTGATATTTAGCAGTCTTGACCCTTCATTTATGGAGGTTCAGAATCTCCTTCAAAACATACATGCAGAAACTTTTAGGTCATTAAGCTCTGTTTGAGCTGGAAATTCAAATCCCTGAACTCTTCCCTTTTTTTTACCCCTTTGGCCAGCAATGATAGGAGCACAAAGCCAATCTCATATTTTTTAATTTTCCGAAAGTGTTATATACACTGTCACCAGATCCTTGCTTATGTGTGGTTCATCAGGCATAGTCAATGCAGATGCAGTAGTACCTTCTCATCCTTGGTTTCCTGTTTCATAGTTTTGGTGACCTGTGATCAGCCATGCTCTGAAAATATTACATACATTAAGATATTTTGAGAGGGTGGATAAATTAGGTAAAAGGGGTCAACTTTATGGTGATGAATATAAACTAGACTTTTGTTAGCAAATCTAATGTAATAAATACAGATGTTGATTTATAAGATTGTATATAACTGAAGCCTATACAACGTTATAAACCAATATTACTCCAATAAGAAAAGATTTTCTTTAGAAAGAAAAGAGTAGATTTTTAAAATTTATAAAAGTAATTTATAGACCTAAACATATATAAAAAGTTTTTTAAAAAAGAAATTTCGAGGAAGACCACATTTACATAATTTTATTAAGTATATTACTATAATTTTTTAATTTTATTATTTTTACTATAATCTTTTATTGTGCCTAATTTATAAAGTAAGCTTTATAATAGTTATATATGTGTAGGAAAAAACACAGTATACTTAGTGAAACTGTAGTGGTCTGCCATCCTATCATTTTCCTATTTCAACTTTTTTCCTGTTTTTGTGTTTTTTTAAAAAAGATTTATTTATTTATTTATACAAGAACCGGGGTACAGGCCAGATGTGTGGGAGGGTGAGAGGATTCACCAGAGACAGAGCGGGGAACAGAACAAGCAGACTGACAAAATACACTGCTGAGGGGAGCAGCGGGTGCTACAGGAGAGGTCTACCACACCATGTGGGACCCTCGCCAGGATCAAGCCGGCGCTGCAGAGGCTACAGACAGCTGGACAGCTTCACAGCACCGCGCTCAACCAGCTGCGCCACCAGGGGAGGCCCTGTTTTTACTTGTCTTGCAAGAAGAATAGGAATTCACCATAAAATTGGGTAACTAGTGTGAACCATAGAACAAAAATACTGAAAGTCAGCTTAAGCAGGGATTTTTCTTAAGTTGACAACTTGTTTTTTTTTTTTTAAAGGTTTTTTTTTTTATAGAAGCATGTTTTATTTATTTGTTTGTTTGTTTGTTTGTTTTGTTTATACATCCACTGGGTACAGTAAGAAGCACGGGAGGGTGAGAGAATTCACCAGAGCCAGAGCAGGGAGCAGAGCAGGCAGAAGGACCGAAGTACACTGCTGAGGGGAGCAGCAGGCGGCAGGAGAGGTCTGCGCGCCATGTGGGACCCTCCTCTGGTGGCCGGAGAGCGAACCGGCGCCGCAGAGGCCGCGGGCAGCTTCGCAACCCAGCGCTCAACTGCTGCGCCACCGGGGAGGCCCAAGTTGACAACTTGTTTTACAGCTTGGACCTAGAAAAGTTTTCACTGTCCTTGAGGTGACCTTTTGACTGCCCAGAACAAAAACTGCCCAGCTCGTGGATAAACTAACAACATGTGGAAGTAGAGACTACTCAGTTTTGTTTTAGTTCTAAACCCAAATTCAAGTTGTTCTATGATTTAGCAGAAAACAGCCAATCAGGCTTGTATTTTTTAATTCTTTCTTTGTTCCTTAATCCTTTAAATATTGCCCAAAGCACCATCCTCAGGGAGACAGACTGGAGCCTTGCCTCCTGTCTTCTTGCCAGTAGACCTGTAATAAATATTGTTCTTCTCTTTCTTCCAGTCTGGTAACAAATGGCTTCTGTGCACGTGAAGCAGTGAGACAATGGCTCTGCAACAACAAGGTCAGTAACACTATCTGCAGTTTCAGGCGTCCACAGGAAGTCTTGGAATGTATTCACCAAGTATAAGAGGAAACTACTGTATTTTATGTCTCTATTGCCTAATCAGGTCATGGACTATCACTATTCTCTTTACTACTGGAAACAAATTCATTAGAGAATTAATTCCAGAAATCTCAGAGCCAATTAAAAAAATTCATGCTTAACATTCTGTACCTCTAGAACTACTCTTAATATCAAAATCCATATCGGTAATGGTTCTCCAGAGAAATAATCAGAGAGACAGAGCGCAGTTGGGGAGTGAGGAACAGAGACAGAAAAATTCGTTATAAGAAATTGGCTTACATGGTTATTGAGGCTGAGTAGTATTAAGCCACAGACCCAGGAGCGCCTATGATATAATTCCACTCTCAGTCCAAAGGCCTGAGAAACAGAGGAGTCAATGGTATAATTTCCAGTCTGAGTCCAATTGCAGGAAAAGACTGGTATCCCAATTTGATGACAGGAGGAGAGAGCAAATTCTCCATTACTGTACCTTAACTTTTTTTTTTTTTTTGTACCTTCACTTTTTCTATATAGGCCTTCACTTAATTGAATGAAACCCACTCACACTGGGAAAAGCAGCCTGCTTAATACAGTCTATAGATTAAAACGTTAATCTCATTTAGAAACATCTTCACAGACACACCCATAATAATAATGTTTGACCAAATAGCAGGGCCCCAGTCAACTTGACATAAAACTAGCCATCACAAATGTGGAAGTTGGTGCTAAAAAAAGACAACTCCAAAATTATTTATCTCTCAGATGTTTGACTATGAAATTCTTATTATGTCTTTCAAGGCACAGATGCAAGTGAAGGAGGAAAGGCTCAAAACTCACTGGTGACTAGAACTTTCCCAAGTCTGTTAGCACTTAGACCAACTGTAGGTGAAGACCAACTGTGACTCCACGTGAACGTTAAGGCTTACGTTTTTTTTTTTTGTTTTTTTTTTAAATGATTTTTCTTTTTTTTTTAAGAGACATGCATTATTTATTTATTTAATTTATTTATTTGTTTGTTTATACATGCACTGGGTACAGTCAGAAGCATGGGAGCGTGAGAGAATTCACCAGAGCCAGAGAGAATTATGCCTCAAGGAAGCTCTACCTGCTTAATAGAACTATGTTCTCCTTTGTAGGTCTTCTAGACAAGTTGCAACAGGAACAAATCCTCCGAACCACAAAAACCAAACATCCTTCATTTAACACAAATGTTCTTAGAGTCTGATCCCTGGACAAGCTGCATTAGGATCCCCTGAAGGATGTACTAAAAAACACATTTAACTTGAATGAGGTGAATAAAATCAGAATTTCTGCAAGTGAGTCTAAAAATTGACATTTAGCAAGTTCCATGATTATTTATTAGGCACACCAAAATCTGAGACTCTTTGTTCTAATCCCACACTGATAGAGTTTTTTAGAAATGGGCTAGATTCCAAGATTTGAGGCACAAGAGAAAGTTAACCAGGAATTTTCTTTGTCATTTTGTCTCAGCTAGAATTCCTCCATGTCTAGTAAATTCAGAACACAACAGTTCTGTCATTTAGTCATTAGACAGCAGCAAAGTCATTATAGGAAATGTTACAAGTGAGCTGAGGAAATTAGAACAATAATAACAGGTCACTGAGTCCAATCTCAAATTTTGTGCTGGGAGGCCACTCCCTAGCCCACCTTCTCCCCAGGCCAGCGGTTCTCTTTGTTCACGTTCATTCAGACACATTATTGCAAAAGAAACTCACCTCCAGGGGCATTCTTATAGGCCAAAAACACTATCACAAAATCTTTCTTAATAAGTCAGACTTGCCATTTTTTGGCTACTAATATAAAGGTTTCATTCAAAAATTATAAGCAAAAATGGCAATATGGTAATTAATCAGACATCCCCAATATTAGTGATGTCACAGATAGATAATTTTGTCATGCTGTCATACCTGGGCAATAACATCCCATCTCTGACTCCTCCCTGCTTTTCCTTTCACCCCAATACTCTTTTCTTTCATAGAATACCCACTTTCCTTGGGAAAGTCCTTATTTCCCAGTCATACCCAAACAAAAAATACTCCCTAAATTAAGTTCCATATTGTTTTAGTGTAAATCAGAACTCTGTTGCATACCAGCTGAATTATTTTAACATCTCCGCACCTGTTTCCTTGTTTATAAAATCAAATTATTATCCCTAACTCATGGAGTTCTTACATGAATAAATGAGCCAAAAAATCAAAAGAATTTAACACTTGATGTGAAAACTATTTGATGACTCCATTGATTATATTGGGTCCAATTGAAAGGAAAGGAAGCAGAAAAAATTTATTAGAGACCATGATGTGTGGGTGTTTAATAACTGTTGTTTTCAAGTCTCCAGAAAAAAAGCCCTGGTTTGTAGTGCTTGCTAATTTCTGTGGTGTAAATATTCTTATTAGAGGGGCCTCCCTGGTGATGCAAAGGGTTAAGCACCACACTGTGAAGCAATCCGCAGCTTCTGCAGCATGAGATGGATCCCCAGCCAGCCAGGGAGCAACCCACATGGCGCAACAGACCTCTCCTGCCTCGCCCACTGCTCCCCTCAGCAGGTATTTCGGTCAGTCTGTTCTGTTCCCCACTCTGTCTCTGGTGAATCCCCTCACCCCCCGCATCTCTAGCCTGTACCCCAGCTCTTGTATGCATAAATAAATAATTTTTTTAAAAAATATTCTTATTAGAGACAATTTCAAGTTTCAATTTCAAGTAACATCCCTGAACATAGAGCTGGAAGAGATGCACAGCAGATGCCATGGTATACTATTTTCACCCTATGGAAACATTAAGCATCAATAACTTCAAGAACATGGGTAATCGTGTAATAGAGTAAAATAATTGGGAAGTGATGAGTTTGAGGTTTTATTACCCTTGTGTTTAAGATAATTTTTTTAAATCACTAATGTTCTGGCAAAGGGAGTAATAGCATCTGCAAAGCTTAAAGTGAAAGGACCTTGCATGTTGGTGTCTGTGGAACAGAGAGCATGGCAGCGGGCACAGTAAGTGAGGGGGAAGTGGTGACAATGCTGCTGACTGGAAAGGGAATGCGAGGCCAGACCATGAAAGGTCATGGAGGTCTTATTCAGAGAAAATGTAAAATCCAAGAAAGAGTTTTAAGCTTGAGTATAAAGTAATCAGATTTTTATAAAAGCTCTCTAGTTATTGTTGGAAAAAATTGATTGGTGGGGGAAGGGGCAGAATGGAAACCAAGACAATAGTTTGGTCATTATTACACTAATCTGAGAGGGAGAGGACAGTGGTTTGGTTTAGGAGAGCAGCAGTGGAGAGGAAGAGAAGTGGATGAAATGGCATTGATATAGGATGTAGAACTGACAAGACTTTATGATTCTTTGCTGCACTGCAAAATAAGATGATCTACCAAGTGATAACTTATTATAAGAAAACAGAATAGAGACAGAGAGAGAGAGAGAGGGAGAGAGAGAGGGAGAGAGAGAGAAAGTTGGGGGAAGAGAGGAGAGAGCACACATTGCTTCTTCTGGGAGATCAGATAAGACTGCACATATTTTGCCTGATGAATGACATAGTTCTGTTGAATTGCTTTTGGTAAGTACCTTATGTCTGATGTAATATATGGCTGCTATGGCCTGTAAGAAACCTTCACTCTCAGTAAGTCTGTATAATTGCCCATTAGGGATTACTCTGGGAATAAAGTGTTAAATAAAACATGAGAAAATTTAATTTGTCATTGCTATAATGAAATCCAATTTGTTTTCATATGTAATTTACCAAAACATTTATATCGTATTTTATATATTAAATAAAATTATAGTTATGAAACAGCACTGAAATACTTGATCAAAGTGTCCAGATTAAAAATCACAAATAACAGTAAGTCCAAAAATACCATATTAAACAGATGGATCCTCACTAATGTTCTGATTTCAAAGCCAGAAAAGCCACACATGCTGAATATCAATGAGGAATTATGTCCACACTCCTGTTAAGAGCAAATGTTAGGGGCTTTATTGATGGTTTCAGACTTTTTACCCAAATACACAAATGTTAGGGGCAAGATAATTTTCTCATGCAGGCTTAGATGGAAATAATAGCTAGAGCAAGGACACGCCTCCCTCATCAGTGATTAGAGTTGAGAAAAGCTAGATTTAAGGTTCTTTTCTATATGTAGAGCTGCTGTAATTTTATCAATGCATTGTTTGTTTTTTATCTCATGCAAATGAGTTGATAGTTTTGTTCCATAAAGTTGTTGGGGAGCAAGCATCCTTCCATCTCATTATTTCAGCATCTCTAGTATGTTGTGCTGTCTACATGGTGAAGCACAATGTCTACATTTTCCAGTAGGAAAAGAGAAAGGGGAAAGGATTACACAGCACTTTTGCCAGAGCTTTAAAAAATTCTTTTTCATAGCAGCATTATTCATAGTAACTGAAAGGCGGAAACACTCTAGTGGCCATGAGGGCTGAATGGATAAACAAGATGTAGTATGGACATACAATGGAATAGTATTCAGCCTTTATTTTTTTTTGTTTGGTTTTATTTATATATTTTTCACATCATTATTCATTTTTGCACAATTTGTGTATTTTCATCTTGATTATAGTCCACAAACAATACCCAGCCCCCCTTGCTTTGATCCCAGTCCCTCTTCCCCCATTGCAGTGCATCTCTGGTTTATAGTTGCTTCTTGATTCTGATTTTTACTTTATTATAATTAGTCTTTTTCCTGGTCCCTTATTTAGGTTTTCTAAATTCCTGCTATGAGTGAGACCACCTGGTATTTTTCTTTTTCTTTCTGGCTTATTTCGCTGAGCATGATCCCTTCCAGCTCCATCCATGTTGCTGCAAATTGCATGAGTTTATCTTTTTTGAATGCTGAGTAATATTCCATGGTGTATATGTACCACATCTTGATCCAGTCATCTGTTTTTGGGCATTTGGGTTGTTTCCATAGCTTAGCTATTGTAAATAGTGCTGCTACAAATATAGGGGTGCAGATGCTCTTTTGAATTAATGTTTCTGTGTCCTTTGGGTAAATACCTAGGAGTGGAATTGCTGCATCATATGGAAGTTCCATCTTTAGCAGGTTGAGGAATCTCCACACAGCTTTCCGTAGAGGTTGGACCAGTTTGCACTACCACCAGCAGTGCAGGAGAGTTCCTAAAAGGATGAAATTCCGACACATGCTACAGCATGGATAAATCTTGAAGACATTATGCTAAGTATGCCAGTCACAAAAGAGAAAATATGTGTTAAGTTCACTTATATGAAATTAACCTAACTAGAGTAGCCATATTCATAAAAACATGGTAGAAAAAAAGTGTAAAAGAAAGCATGGTGGTTGCCAAGGGCTGGGGAAGGGAAACTGGCTCTGTTTGTTTAGTGGGTACAGAGTTTCAGTTTTGGAAGATGAAAGAAATCTGGAATGATTAATGGTGATGGTTGTACAACAGTGTGGATGTACTCAGTGCCACTGAACTGCACTCTTAAAATAGTTAAAATGGTAAATTACATGTTATGTATATTTTACCACAATTTTAAAAAACACCTAAATTGTTTTTAATAAAATTTAAAAAATTTAGTCCATATTGGGATCCAAATGAGGTCCATACATCATTGTGATTCTTTGAAATGTCTAATTCTTGCTCTCTTGCTCACACAAATTGTTGTGTTTTTTTTTTTTAAAAAAAAAAAAGCTAGATTAGTTGTCCTCTGACTTTTCTACATTATCAAACTCAGGTTAGATTTTGGTGGAGGTGAAGATTCTACTTCACATGTGCTTTTATGTACTTCCAGCATGAGATTTATAGTGCCTAATTTAAAAAAATATATATTTATTTATTTTGCAGAAGAACTAGGGCGTAGGCCAAAGGTTTTGTGTGTGTGTGTGTGTGTGTGTGTGTGTGAGAGAGAGAGAGAGAGAGAGAGAGAGAGAGAGAGAGAGGATTCACCAGAGACAGAGTGGGGAACAGATCAGGGGGATTTACTGAAATACACTGCTGAGGGGAGCAGTGGGTGAAACAGGAGAGGTCTGCTGTGCCATATGTGCGTTAGCTCCCTAACCAGAAATCATACTCAGGCCATGGTGGTGATAATGCTGAGACTTAACCCCTAGGCCACCAGGGAGGCCCTGATTTTCTTTCTTTTTGTGATCTTAATAGTCTTTGATGATAGTTGCAGAGATCCCAGTGATTCATGAAGAATTGCAAAACTGTTACATTCAAATTCTATGATCCTTTCTGGAGAAATTTTCCCAACATATTCCCGTGAGATGTAATATAAAAACTTCATTCTGGCACAGATCTGAGTGAAGGTAATGTGGGGTTTTCATTTGTGTGAAGGCTAGATACTTGACCAGTGAGTACTTCCATGTGAAACTACACCCTAAACACTGCAAGAGTAGTACCCCAGGGAGAACAGTATCAATCTCCCTGCAATACTCTGATTCCCAGGTTCACATCCTCTTTGCCCTTGAACACCAAAGTCAGTCTTTTTCCTTGTTCTTTGTTTTGTGTAGCATCCTTTGATCACCTATCATGTAGAGTCTTCTTAGATCATTAAAATGGAAGCTCCCCATTTGCAACTAGATGATTAAATAACTCTTTTTCATCCTAGATATGATGGATTTCTACAGCGTTTGCCTGTCAAGCATCCAGAAAAAACGGTACTGAATTACTTCCACATTGCTAAACTAAGAGAATCAAGTGCCAGGTAATTTTGGTAATGTGGGGTTTAATTATTAAGTTTGCACGTAAATTCAACCATGTGGATATTTTCTTCTCACTATGTTGCCATCAAGTGGGGATGAACTGGGTTGGATAACAAATCTTTGCTCTGTAACTAACTGCCCCATGTCTCAGGATTAGTAAACTCAAGCTGTACTCCAGAGGACAGAACTGATCAAGATGGAATGACTCCTCAGAGGAGACAATAGTGATATTTCTGCTCTATTACCATTTATTTTTCTGCCTCAAGGTACAGATTCAACTATGGCAGGGGAGAAATCCATTAGCAGCCACTTACTGTTTGGTATTCTTTTTTCCTATATACCCCTCTTTATTAAGATAAGCAGAATTTGCTTATTTCCTGTATCCTAAGACTGTTAATGTAAATTACATTTGAAAACTGATTTTATTATATTGATTCTTTTACAATTCCTTTCAGCTTTGAGCAATGAATACTTTGTTGTGAAAAGGATGTTAATTGCTTTTCCTAGGGTCAAAAATCCTCTTTATAGATCTTGAATCCAATAACCACTAAGAGCTTAGATGAAGAATTGACCATTAGTCTTACCAGGAGTTATAATTGATCATTTTTTTTTTTGCTTAACTCTAGTTTGAATTTGTTTTCAGTGGATTTTTTTTGTCACTTCCTAACATCTTCTAAATGAAATAATTACTGCAAATCTTTAGGCTCAGTGTATTCATTATCTTAGTTAACTCTGTGAAGTTTTCTTACAAGAATCTCTTCCCTCGGTGACTAAAACGTCTTTCTTGTTCTCGCTCGCTCTCTCTTTTTTTTTCAGCATTAAGCATGAGATCACTGATGCTTTGCAAAGTGTATCCAACTGTCCTGATTTTCTCTATTGGTTGTGGTGGTGGGGGTGGCAGGTGGTAGAGAAACAAAAGTTAGGGTAAAAATTCCTCTTACACATTTTTTAAAATTTATTTTTTATTTTATTTTATATATTTTTACATCATTTTTCATTTTTGCACAATATACATTTTCATCTTGGTTATAGTCCCCATACAATTCCCACCCCCCAACCCCCTTGTTTTGATCCTACTCCCTTCTCTTCCCCACTGTAGTGTGTCTCTGGTTTAAAGTTGCTTGTTGATTTTGGTTTTTACTTTATTATAATTAGTTTTTTTCCTGGTCCCTTATTTAGGTTTTCTAAATTCCTGCTATGAGTGAGACTATTGGTATTTTCATTTAACCAGTGTCTTCTCTTGTAAAGTGACAGACTACAGCAAATATGTTGCAGATGTTATAGTACTATTTGAATTTAGATAAACTTTCTATGTGTTATTTAAATTCCACAAGGTAAGAAAATTGAAAAGTAATTATGTTCAGAGAATGACAGAACAAATTACTATTAACATGAATCACTGCTTATCTTTTTGGGCTACTCCCACTGTTGTCATTGGCCATGACTTTGGGGTGATTTCAAAATATATCTCAATTTGGGCATCCCTGGTGCTGCAGTGGGTTGAGCACAGCACTGTGAAGCTGTACGCAGCCTCTGCAATGCGGGTTCAATTCCCAGCCAGCCAGGGGGAGTCCCACATGGCAAGACAGACCTCTGGAGAAGTGCTTTCAGTCTGTCTGCCTGTTCTGCTCCCCACTCTGTCTCTGGTGAATCCTCTTACCCTCCCACACCTCTGGCCTGTACCCCAGCTATTGTATAAATTAAAAAAAAAATAAATCTTTAAAACAAAATGAAACAAAATATATCTCAATTCTTTGATACTCTTTCCTTCAAAATGTAAAACTTAATGCCCCTTTCCCTTGATATAGATCAGACATGGTAAGTCACATCAAACAAATAGAAGGTGGTGAAAATGAAGTTTTCCCTGAGGTAAGATGGTTTTGGGGGGACAAATAGTTCTAATCTTAGCTAATCAATCATGAGACAAAGAAAGGAAGTTGAAGGGTCATGCTGGAGGTTCTGCCTTGTCAGCAGGTTTAGGCAAAAGGGGAAAGGTTCATATTTGTCCTTGTTAGTTCACTCATTCTTAGAGAAACCCACCATATCCCACAGAGAAATAGGATTTCTCTTTGTACAGAGAGATTCATGTATAAAGAGGCCCATGTGGAGAGGAAACAACTTGCCACCACCAAGTAGCCAGGTATATGAATATGCCATCTTGGAAGCAGCTTCTATAGCCTTGGTCAAATGTTCAAATGGTTTAAACCCTCCAGTCTTTGAATTCTTCAGCTGAGGTCCTAGTCATCACAGAGCAAAGACAAACACAATTAGAGAATTAATATTGGTTTCCCCTCTCTATGTCTATATGCATTAGTGTTAGAAGAAACACCTCTGCATGTAGAATAGCATCTAGGAAAATAAATATGTTTACTTTAGGAGTAAACACCCAGAGAAATCAGCGTCTTATATAAATATATAATATATATATATATTATATATATATATATAAGAAATTACTGTTTTGTAAATGGAAGTAGATTTAAAACTCTTCTTTTTTTTTGGGCCTCCCCGGTGGCGCAGTGGTTGAGCTCTGTGTTGCGAGGCTGTCTGCAGCCTCTGTAGCACCAATTTGATCCCCGGCTGTACCACATGGCGCGCAGACCTCTTCTGCCGCCCGCTGCTCCCCTCAACAGTGTACTTCGTTGGTCTGCCTGCTCTGTTCCCGCTCTGGCTCTGGTGAATTCTCTCACCCTCCCGCACTTCTGACTGTACCCAGTGCTTGTATAAATAAATAAATCTTAAAAATAAAATAAAATGAAATAAAATAAAAATAAAACTCTTCTTTTATCCATGCCTCTTAACAAATAGATAAATCACTTTATTTAGTATAAAGACCCCAAAATACTAATTTGTAATGCAAAAATTAACAATAAATTGGATTGTAATACTACAATCCAGATTAATAATCTCTAATTAATAAAATAAATTAGCCACTACCATAGGAAATTCAGTTGTGTATGTTTAAAGATAGAAATGCTAATGGGATGTTTGAAATGTATAGTCTGGAAGCTTGCTCTTCAAAAATTTGGTCCCTGGACTAACAATATAACATCACTTTGGAGCATTGTTTGAATTGAAGAATTTAAAGTCCTACCCAAGACTTAGTGAATCAGAATCTGCATTTTAGCAACACCCCTAGGTGATTTGTATGCACATGAATGTTTGAGAAGCCTGTTTTATAATCCAGATTCCACCACTTTTAATATGAAACTGGAAGTGTATCATTCATCCTGTGACTTTGGGTTTACCATCTTTCAGTGGGAGGTAGGGTCGGGATCGAAATTCCGAACAAATAATCATTTATTCAATAAATATTTTTTGATTATTCATTTTATTTGGGATTCAGCAGTGAGCCAGGAAAATCAGAAGCTTTCCATTTCCTTGAAGTTCAAAAGTTTTATATTTTCTATCGCAGTATTCAATTCCTTGCTGGAATTATTTTCTCTGACCAGTCTCCTACCATGATGATTGTAGTTATGTGTCATGCAATGTTGCATAAGAAGACAGATGTCAGAAGAATTTGGGGAAAAGTCCCTCCGGATCAGTATCCTGCTTCCCTAGAATTGGAGTAGAAGTATTTTCACATACATTAAATTGCCACTGCTGACAGCTTGCTACAAATTGCCTCCACAAGGATGGCAAGGTTCCCTGACTTGATTTTTAAAATTGCTTCACAAATCACTGGGAAAAAAACAGTATTTTGGAAATAGTGAGATTCTGACAGTATGTCAGACTTCCACTGTTGTGTCTTCTTAAGTTCTTTCTCTAACAGTAACCTATGGATCATGCTAGAAAAAGTGACAGAGCCAAAACTTGCTAATATTTGCCACCAGCCATAGCTTAGAAACCTTTTTATATTTTCAATTCCATTAATAATTAGGAAAAAATAAAATAGGTAGAAGGATAAAAGGACAGAACATGGGAAAATAAGATAAATATCCCTTCCAATACAGTACCTCACTGCCTGTCTTTGGCCCCAGTTCTTCATTGAGCATTCAATAAAGAAAAAGCTAACACTATTATTTCAAAATATTGTTTCCTTCTTTTAAGAGGTCAGATTTCCAGGGCCTCCCCTGGTGGTGCAGTGGTTGAGTGCTGGGTTGCGAAGCTGCCTGCAGCCTCTGCAGCGCGGGTTCGATCCCCGGCCACCGGCGAGGGTCCCACAAGGGGCGCAGACCTCTGCTGCTGCCCTTTGCTCCCCTCAGCAGTGTATATCTTTGTCAGTCTGCCTGTTCTGTTTCCTGCTCTGGCTCTGGTGAATTCTCTCACCCTCCTGCACTTCTGACTGTACCCAGTGCTTGTATAAATAAATAAATAAATCCTAAAAAAAAAAAAAAAAAAAAAAAAAGACTTAATGGAAAGGGATAAAGCATACCTCATTTAAAAAAAAAAAAAAGAGGTCAGATTTCCAAACTAACTGTTTTTAAAGGTTGAAGGAAAACATTGATTTGTGAGACAAAATTTTTTGTTAATTTTATAAAATCCCTCCTTTTTTGACCTTTGAAAATTGTGTTACTCTTCATGTATCTGAGAAGTATCATGCTCTTTTATGGTAACATTTCCAGTCCTATAAATTTGCATACATGTGATCAAATAACATGGTACAGATGATTTATCGGTGGAAAAATTTTGTTAAACTAATTATACCACTGTGAATCAGTACAGTTAAGTTTTAATGAGTGCCTGACACATACTAATATCAAGAACCCATCAATAAATATTTATTAAATAAATAAATGAAATAGAATTCAGAAAGACAACAGAAAATGTAATGTAGACCCCAATCTGTCAAGGACTCAGCAGTTGGTTAATATGACCAGTCACCACCTGCTACCTCAGCAAGGCTATTTTAATGAAAAAGGATAACATTGATTTATATCCCTCAGTTTCAGTTTGACTCAAGGATTGCTCAATATTATGGTCTATTGGGAGGCAAGAGTGTTAAAGCAATTCTGGTGAGGCAAACATAAGAGTCAAATAGATAGGAAACTGAAAAATCCTT